ATCAAGTGGTAATAAAAATATAAAATGATAAAGAAACTCGTCGCAACAGTTATCGATAGTGAGAGGAAAAGCATCGATTTTGGTATTCAGTTAAGTTCCTCGAACATAACGGAAACATGAATTTGCGCGTAATTGTACAAGTTAGTAAAGGGTGATAAAGTAAGATCAGCTGTAAATAGGCTTGAAGGGCGTCGTTCCGACAGGAAAGTAATGCGCAGCGTGTGGCACAGCTGTTTGGAGTCAAGCGGAAGTCAAAGGGCATTTTTCTCGCATTGACGTCATCGGCATTGAGTCAATACGTTTATCACGTATTTATGTGAACGTTTTCGACGACTGATTCACTCAACCACAAGCACTTTGTTTCATTGAACAGCTGGCAATTTGTCAAGGAATGACAACAAGGAACTCAGGTTAAGACAAGAATCAGGATTGAATTGATGGGGTGATTCCACTCAAATGTGAAAGTAGGGTGGAGGTGGACCGCCAGTGAAAAAAGGAAAGAAAATCCTGAAATACACAGGAAATACGAGCATTTTGCTCGCTGTGGAGAAGTTCAAAAGGCAGGCAGGGAGATGAGAGATAATGTGAGCGCGGAGAGCGGTAGAGAAGTCCGAGAAGAGAGAGCATAGCAGATCAACGTGGCGACGCAGACAAGATATCGAACGGTGGGCGGACCATGTTAAGTTTGGTGGAGTCTGTTAGAAGTCCATGGCGCCTAGGGTCCTAGTGACGTTTCGATGTAGAAAGGTGGCGCTACCTTTGCACTTGCGTACCCAGCACTTCTAGCCATGGTAAGGGCTTCTTAGGTGGGTCTGAGCCCGAACTTTTAAATTTTTTGACCTCAATGTACCGCGGCTGAGCAGGGTGTGGCACAGATGTTCGGGGAACCCTGCGGGGTTTTCAGCTGCTTCCGGCAACATTCATCATTTTCTGATGTCCGTCGAACTCCTCGAGCGAACGTTCAACGTTGAGCAGCTGATCAATCCGATGGCGACAGACTCAACCAACACCAATCGTTCTGACCATTCAACGCGCTCTCCGGAATGAAACACGCAGGGAAAAAATCAAAGCAATGGGACTCGATGAATATATTCCGTAATACACCAAGCATTCAACTTCCATTCAGAACTGCTGTTGAGAAGAGTCATTTTGTATAAGTACCCAAGCTTGCAGGAACGGTGTTGAGATGGATTTTTGCGGCGGGTGGGCGGTGAGGGGCAGGGAGGGCAGCGAAGGTTAAAGCTCGAGTAACGCTAAAGCTAAGGCAAGGTCCGGGATCGAACTGAAGTGTTATTTAGGTAGGATGGAAATCGCTCCGAGTAAAATGACCGAGTTTATACGATCCCCTTCTCCCCACCTCTACCCCTCCCCTGTCCCCACCCTCTCCATTCGTAAGGCTGTCATACCCCCTTCTATCCTACGTACATTTAGTTTCAGAGCAAAACATGCTAGTTCAAGATGCGCTCGGGGAAAAGTAACATTCAGTGCTACTGCTATGGGAGTGCTACATAATCGAAATCCTCAACCTACCTATCGCGACTGGCAAGTGAAAGGCAATGGCCTGGCCTTGAGTGCTTCAGAGCTGCCACTTTATAATACCAATCGCGGCATACGTGGCGTCTGCGCTCTCTCGCGTACGACGTGCTCTCTCGCGTTTCCCTCTCCTCGCAGCGCTGTGTCTCTCCGTCGTACCACGGCCGACCTCACAAGGGAATTTCAGTGTTTTCTATGGTGCTTTTTGCTTTTCCCACTAAGGTTCCTTATAGCAGTTCTTGTCTAATTTTTGAACCAAGTAACATCCAATTCGATCCCGACTCCTGCCTTTGACTTGGCGTTCCGTGGCACAAGTCAATCTCGAGTGAAGCTAGCTATGAAACTTTTTCATTCTCACTCTGTTTTGTCTTGAATTTTTGCCAGTCCCCCGATTTCGATGAGAAAAGGAGCGACCGGCTACATCGATGCCGCAGATCAAAGGTGGAAATCGGATTTCCGTGGGAGAAGTGAAGATCAAAAGAAGATTGTCCCAGCGTAATTCTTACACAATTAACATATTTGTGCCTGTGTCGAGCTTCAGATGCTCACTTCAAGTACACAAACTATTTCATTAATCACGAAGGTTGGAGGGGGATTACTCGGGTGTCCCCCAAGAGGCCCATCGCGCGGCGAAGGAAGAGACGCAGATGCGGCAAAGGACGAGTCGCAGCGCGTGCTGTGCGATATGAGACGTAGTATGGTACACTCTATTTATGTATTTATGTAACCTGACGCCTAACCTCTAAATTATGCGATGCGACTCGTCCTACCTTCCTTCGTCGCGCGAAGGGCCTCTTGGAGGACACCCGGATTGCTCCATAAGATGCTTGTATTAGAGTTATGCCCTTCCTCGGGTGCAACAAGGTGAGGATTCATTGGTAGATTGGGCACCAGTGATCGTCCGCCACACGGCTCGAAAAGATCAAGCCTCATGAGGTTTCCCATGAAACAATGACTTCTTGAATACATAATACTTTTACTATGATACTGTACGTAATAATACTTCTCCCATTGTGATTTTAGTTCTTCAATTTATCTTCTTCACTTTTCTTTTATTTTTTTCCTGCTTCGCTAGTTTTCGTGAGAACATTATTTACAAAGGATAGTAGCCTTCCCCTCTCCCACTCAGGTCAACAGTGTGCTGTCTGATTTTCCCAGGGAGAGGAGACGCCGTTGAGTTTCTGTAGGGGAGGTGGAGAGGGGGGGGGGGAACGTGATAGTGGAACGTGATAATATTTTGGAATGGAAGGAAATGCGTTTGATTTGTCCTCAGTACATATTACTGTACCGGGCGCTATCGCAAGATAAGGGGCATTTCCAGGACCAAGCCTAGGAAAGAGCAGGAACTCAGGGGAGGAAAACGCTCATACATCCTTTCTCTCCTTCCCAGCTTAAGGCTCAGTTCCATTTTTTTCAAAGACCAAACCCAAGAGAGAGCACGAACTCAGGGGAAGAAAACCCTCATACGTCCTGTCTCTCATCCCCAGCTTAAGAATCAGTTCCAATTTTTTCAAAAAGCGGCAGCTGGGAGAAGTTTACAGGGAGTTGTGCTTTCTCAAGTGGTAGGTTCAACAACGACACTGTCGACGGTGGGAAGCGTGGAGGGGAGGCGGAAGGCACTGTTCCAGTTTCGGAAATTTTTCCAAGATTACGCTCGTCTTTGCTCTCACCACTTTCCTATTGACGCAATCCTTTGATGATAACAAGCATGGGTACAGCTCGACATCTTGGGATCAAATCCCGTATCGAGTCTCGTGCATGCCTATCAAGCCTTCCACCTTGCCCGTCTTCATCTATCCGAGAAAAAAATGAGGTCGTCAAATAAAAGGTTTCTGTGGTTCCTTTTCCTTTTTTTCATCACTGGCAATTGAGTTGTATCTTGTATCTCCGAAGTTGACCAATATGTATTACCCTGCCTGAATACAGTATCTGAGAATTATTTGAGTTGTAGGCTCTAATTCAGAACTACCTCAAGATTGGTATGGTACAAGTTCCTCATTCAACGAAGCTGCAACTTGTGCCTTTGCTTTTCTCCCTTACTCGTTATTTTAACTCATGGAAAATACTCATCTCACCAAACGAAAGTAGTTACCATTCATGATACCTCTGTGGTATTTAGCTGGCATCACTATTTTTACCAGCAACTTTTAAGCGTCTACTTTTCGGCTGTTTGGTGGTTTTCTTAGAAATAGGATCTATTATAGAATGTGGAAGTCACATCACTTAGTTGTACCTCGTTTTATTCTCTCAGAAAATTTTTCTGCCGTCTTCTGCTTTGGGCCATTCTGGAGATCTTGCATGGAAAATTAATGAAAAGGAATTCAGAAGAATCGTCTCAGTTTTAGAGAAGTGGGTGGCGCATCCTGTTAGTCATAGGCCGATGTCATAGTTTGCGAATCGAGCGATTCGCTAGCGAATCGCTGGATCCGAGCGTTGCGCCAGCGAATCGAACGTTGCACCAGCGAATCGAACTTTGCGCCAGCGAGTCGAACTAGGTACCAGCGACTCAATAGTGGCGGGACCCAACGTTCAAAGGAAGCCCGCCACTTTCAAACAGTGTCACGTGACAGTGGACGCTGTTTGAAAGTGGCGGGACTTGCAGTGGACACTGTTTGAAAGTGGCGGGCTTCCTTTAAACGTTGGGTCCCGCCACTATTGAGTCGCTGGTACCTAGTTCGACTCGCTGGCGCAAAGTTCGATTCGCTGGTGCAACGTTCGATTCGCTGGCGCAACGCTCGGATCCAGCGATTCGCTAGCGAATCGCTCGATTCGCAAACTATGACATCGGCCTAGGGAGCACCCGACTAGAGCTAACAGCACTCAATGTTCAAAGCACTTTTCATTCACAAGTTCCCACAACATGTAAATGTTCCCCAGGAACATATTTATTAAGTATTTTGTTCACTTGTCAGAAAGAAAGAACGATTTGAAATTCGATTACATCCAGAAACGTGAATAGTGGCTACCGTATATTTATTAAAGTAATTGGCATTATAGTCGAAAATAAGAGATGACAGTATAAATCTCAATTTGAGAATCCGTTGACAGATTAAAGCCCATATACAAAGCAATATTCCGGAAAAGGTACTATCAGAAAAGTGGACTACGAGGTACTCGTTAGTATTCACTACATCACACATATGCCTAACATAGGTAATGCCATACGCAGTCCAGTTGCCTGTTGCGCATCTCTGATTGGCGAACGACAAACGGGAACCAATAGCGCGAGCTTGTGGCACCAAGTTGTACACTATTGGCAAAGTGCGCAACTGACACTTGTACTGAACGCGGCTATTCAAACAGAAGATGACTTTAAGTAGTGTAAAAGATATGTGTGCTAGAAATGATGTATAGAACAAGAGAAAATATGAGAAAGAGATAGAAAACAATGAAGAGATGAATGAGTTTTATTAGAGATAAAACTGAATCCCGTACGATGAAGCCTTTGACGATATGACTGTTTGTAGTTAGTCATCATTGTTAAAGCATTCCTTGTCGAGGAAGCGACCAATCTCCATGAAGAGATGGGCTTGACGAGGGCCTATACTGTGATCTTGATTTGGATAGACCTGAAATATCTCGATTCAGCTCATGAATTCACTTTCAATTGGCGAGCTGGACTAATGAAGGCGCATTATGTCTATGAAATTTAGGTCCTTGCCCCATTCGGCGAAGTCGGAGCATTGTATCTATCTGGCAGAAACCATTCAAAATCCTCTCTGACCTATACTAATGGCAAAGTTCACTGTCAAGTTCGTACGAAGACATGGTACGCATTTTAATCATTTCTGCCCAGTTCTACGAGAGCAAAAAGCACGGCGCAATGAAGAGTCTAGCAGCATCAATCTTTAACCCCTTTCACGCCGCGCTGATTTTCTTCGACGGAGTTTGACGGTAATCATTGTTAAAGTCTTCAACAGTATGGCGATTCCAAACGCGTAAAATCGATCAAGAGCTGGGCATGTTAGAGTAGGACCACCTGTTTTCTTTGAATAAGCAAGCTTCAATGTTTAGGTGAGCAAAAATTCAGCGTCTTGTGTAAAATATAGCTACTTACATATTTTTGGAGTGCTCGAGTTCTTGCAAGTGTTACCGCGCATTTATCCTCTGGAACTTCGTCAATTACGTGGCGCTAAACCTGATCGCAACTACAGGGGAGTAACAAAGTTATCGTTAGCCTTTTGTAGCATGGAAGATATCGTATATTTGGCTGCTGCTAAAACTACTGCTAGATTTATTGATCACTGATAAGGCAGACGACAAAAACCTGCGTAGGTGCACACATGATGGCGGCCCGCAATGGGTTGAAGGCACGCTCCAGGGTTTAGCGCTCACCTGTTCCATTGAGCGTAGTACGTAGGCGGACAAGCGTTGATGTCGCGCCCCTTTTGCGGCTTGAAAGTGCGCGACAAAGGCGCTAGAAGCTCGCTCGACCCGCAATCCACACCTTCGTCCGCAAGCCCCGCCCTTCCGCTGTCGGTTGCCACGTGACGCTGCTTGAAAAGCGCGGGCGCAGTTGCGGCAGCGGTTGCATTGCGGTTCAATGTCATTGGCACTGGAGCAACTGGAGCTAGGTCGTGAAACTCGTCCAACACGCCCTTCTCTATCCCAAGGTGGAATGCGGCTGAAATAGAGGGAGGTCCTTATTCGGGCGTAATCGGGGGTTTCTCTTGCTTTCTTCTCTTTTTCAGACCACAACCCCACCTCTAAATTCAGTAGTGAACGCTCCTCTACACTTACATTGTACCAAAGCTTGCTTTCAAGGCCGAGTTCTGGTAGCATGTGCACCCAGAAATTATACGTTGGAGCGATGTAGCCAAGAACGGCATTGCCTTTGGAATTTTGCCTCATGTAAAAGTTTTGATTAATTAGAGTGACCGGAAGATTATAACTGATGGCTATAGTTCTGCAATGGGATGTTAGTTAATTAAGAATTTCGACTTACTAATTGTGTGAAATGAACAAGTTCGGCTTGTAACGCCTCTGCTAGAAGGGCGCTGTTTTGAAAGTGAACATTGTCTAAAAATGCATTGTCATGGAAGTATAGGATTTGATCAGGCAAACTTTCATTGAAGCCTTACCATCAGCCTCTCCATGAGCCAGTAAATATTTGACTTCCTTCAGACGACCAGCTTTATTCAACAATTGACTGGCCTTAAAAAATGGTATTGATGACTAGAATTGAATAGAAAAACACTATCTTGTCAAATCACTGAATGCTCTAATGGTAGATTGGATAGTACTATTACAAAACCCACATTATACGCTCCTGGATTCTCTAGTGGTATACCCAAGTAACGTTCCGTGTACGCGCTATCTGAAAACAGAACACGGTCAAACAAAGGATTGGATAGACTTTACATAGTATTTTGCTTTAGTGTGTTCCATGCGTATGATCACTATGAAATTTCAGCTGTAATTCTCACAAAATCTGAAATAGAGCATCAAGAGTGCAAGCTCTGTCTGGGATTGGCTATCTTGGGCAACCCACCAATCGCATGCATCCTTGCACGCAGCAAGCTAAAAATTCTAACAATAAGAAGCAACACTGCTTTAATCATTTACAACTTCAGAATCTCCACGAAAGAGGACTCACCGTAAAGCATGAAATCGACCACCGGAGCTACAGCAATCGCACATTGGAACGTTTTACCCTGATCCCGTATGGCTATATGTGTGCTGAGAAAGCCTCCGTAGGACTGCAATGAGCTTTCTGAGATCATTATCCAGATAATTTTTAGGGTTACCACGACTAAAACTGGCCTATGTATCACACAGAGGAAGTTAATGCCACAGAAAAAATAAACAAATTTTCAAAAAGTTGACAACTGCTCTCAAGTAGGCTGAGCCAAGGCGATGACTTTTCGATGGTTGGTCACGTGGAAATAGCGTATATTTTTGGAGGGGGGAGTAGCGTTTCAGGGTTAAGTAGGGTGTAGGTTTTCCGGGAGAACTGATAAGGGTTTACATATAGATATAAGGTGTAAATAAATAAAAAAAGGTGTAAAGTTTTTGTAAGAATTCAATTACATAATCTCAATGACTGATTCGGTATGAAGGGAGTGGTGATCTTTAAATGGAGTTGAGTAATGGGACCGATCTTTAAAAAAGATGATTAATGGGAACTCCTGCCGGGGATTGCGTTGGTTCTGAGAAGCGGGGTATGAAGGCACTAGCCAAGCCTCATGGGGCTCAGCGAATAAAACGTCCTTGACACGTGCATAACCCTGGTCTAGAGTAGCATGGTAGAAACGGTGAAATGAGGATTCACTGCCCTGTAAGTAATCCCACATTCAAAATACGTCTGAAAGTGGCTCTTAGATTCTGTATGATGTTGCAGCGCGGAACACCTTATGATTTTATTCTTTAGCTATATTTGTCACAGGATACCGCGGCAAATGCTGTTAGTGGGAGGGCTGCACCAGAGTGGGTGGAGCTTACCATGAAATTTATGATTATGTCCGGAGAAAGCCTGAAGATTTGGAAAAAAAGAGAGTGAGGCCAGCAAAGAGGGTGGGGGTTAAGCAGCAGTGAAGGGCTGGGTGGTGTGAACCCAAATAAGTGAGCGGGGTCTGCCCAGAATCTTACTTCTAGAGTCTAGAGATAGGGAAAGCAGTGGATTGGACCTAGCGAGGGAGTGAAAAGCAAGCGCTCATGTTAGGAACCCTGTACGGAAGTAGGCAGTTTGCCTTGAAAGCTTATGAATCTTTTCGAAACTGTCTAGCGACTGGGACAAAGTCAGTGGAGGTCCCTCACATCAAAAGAGCGAAATTCAAGTCCGCCTGTTCCGTTCCATGCTGCCGTAGCCCCGTGTATTGCGTATGCTAGCGTGCGAAGTGCGCTGGTCGCACGGAAACCATTTTGCAATGCAGTTTCGGGCATTCCTGCTTTCTCTTTGTATATGGGAATCTTAAATGAACCAACAACCGAATAGTAAGTATACTTACCCAACCAAACACCGCTACTCGCTTGTTGTCGATGTAGGAATACTTTGACGTAAGATACCTGAATTGCCGACGGTTTATCGAAGATGTGGACCTCGTGACTACCACAAATCACTCACTTTACGGCGTCGATTGTGTCGATTGTCTCAAACTGGCCGAGCGCTTTGTAGACAGGGGCTTTCATATTCCAGCCTGAGTATAAGAAATTGAAAGTGAACCGTCGGACCGAAGATCTAAACCCTCTCAAGGCCACCAGTCGTGATCAGGTGCCAAGAAGGTAGTCCCTCCCGGAGTGGTCCCTCCTAGAGTTGAGAACGACACAGTTGCGACTAAAAAGTGCGAAACAACGGCGCTAAGGCCTTGCCTTGTGTGCTGCCGTGCTGCCATCCTTATCAACGCGGCATACGTGGCGTCTGCGCCTCTCGCGTACGACGTACTATCTCGCGTTCTCCCTCTCCTCGCAGCGCTGTGTCTCTCCGTCATACCACGGCCGCCTCACAAGGGAAATTCAGTGTTTTCTATGGTGCTTTTTGCTTTTTCTCCCAATAATGTTCCTCATTGCACTTCTTGTCTAATTTCGAACCAAATTTGTACCAGTTCGATTCCGACTCGTGCCTTTGACTTGGCATTTCAAGGCACAGGTCAATTTTGAGTGAGACTGGCCACTCTGAACTCTTTTTCATTCTCGCTTTGTTATGTCCTGAATTTCTGCCAGTCCCTCGATTTGGGTGAGAAAAGGCACGACCGGCATTCATCGATGCCGCAGGTCAAAGTGGAAATCGAATTTTTGTGGGAAAGTGAAGATCAAAGGAAAATTGTTCCAACGATATTTTTACACAGTTTTATATGCCTGTGTCAAGCTTTAGACGCTCACTTCAAGAACACAAATTATTTCATTAATCATCAAAATTGGAGGGAATTACTCTATAAAGTTGCTTCTATTTATGCCATCCCCGGCTCCATAAGGTGACGATTCTACGATACATCGTCACACTGATGGTATGCAGTGTGAATCGTCTACCAAATGGCTTGGAAAGGTGAAGTCTTTGAGATTTTTCATAAAAAAATGGCCGGATTTGGATACATAATAATTAAATACTTCTCTCAATGTTGATTATAGGTCTTACAAATTACTTTCTGATCGTTAGTTTTTCAGGGAACATTGACTGCGGACCATGGGTCTTGTTGCTTCTGATTGTTCTTCCCTCTCACGTCCTTCCTGTTCGAATTCCGAAAAGTTTTCCATCGTTCCGACGCTGATGGATTGCAGCATTTTCTTTTCTAATTGTGCTATAATGCTTTTCTCTTGAACTCGTCTCCGAAGATAAGGATCTTACAATCAGGTGGAGTAAAATGCTGCTCAAAAATGAAATAAGCATTCGAGGACCTGCATGTATTTAGTGGCATGCGTGGCGCACCTCAAATGAAATGCTCAGCTCTAGCCACACCATTTTCTGAAGAGTAGGGTACTTATTATTCTATTTGTCCGAGCACTTTCTGTTTTGAGCTCGTACAGGGATTCCCCTAACAAAGCGCTAGGGCGGTACCTCAAGCTCCGATGAAGAGCACCCTGCATACGTTCTTCATTGGGGACTGACGCCAACCATGGCTCCATAGTTTCTAGTGATTATTAATTGATGGAAAGAGTGTGGTAAACAGTGAACAATTGTATAATTGTTACAGACAAGCGGTCAGACTAGCGAAGAGTTCGTAGAAGTTCAATTACCTCGATTAGAGGATCCACGGCCATCAATCCACGCCACGATCACGCCGAGATTCGAGCAGAAGTGGATCATATTGGGATTCGGCGTAGATCTACGTATTCGACAGCTGTTTGGGCCACCATATCTGAAGACTTTGATTGTATGATCAGATTAAACCAAACAATGATCTTAGCCAAAAAGCCTAGAAGGGACTTACCAGGAAAGGCATTCAACTTCCCATGGAACTTTGAGATGAGACCCAGATATATCGATAGAGCTTCAAACGCTGATTACAAATATGGAAACTAAAACTGCAAAATGAACCTGCCAAGGAAGTTGTGAGCAGTCAAAGTTGGCTGGAAGTAAAGCATTACACTAGCCTCCGGGCTTTCAAAGTCGCCGTGGAGTAGTGGTAGTGCTCTCGGAATTTGCGCTCCGACGGGAGGAGAGCTTATGACCTCCAGGGTGAATAGCGAGGGCACCACCACTGCTCCGCGGCGACTCTGAAAGCCCGGAGGCTAGTGTAATGCTTTACTTCCAGCCAACTTTGACTGCTCACAACTTCCTTGGCAGGTTCATTTTGCAGTTTTAGTTTCCATATTTGTAATCAGCGTTTGAAGCTCTATCGATATATCTGGGTCTCATCTCAAAGTTCCATGGGAAGTTGAATGCCAAAAATGAGGTTTCCAGAGTGAGAAGCCAGTAGGACTCATAGAGAAGAGTGAAAGTATTTGCTACGAATTTTTGAATGCTAGAATGGGAATACTTCTGAAACTGTCGATTCGTGCTGGAAATCGAACAGAACTGTGACGATCGTTGTGGAATGGTGGGATCAGTGAGTGTGGAAGAAGAGGGACTCCTACAGTGAATCTCTTGAGGGCATTTACGATACGATCACCACAAAAGAATGATTTTTGCCCTTGAAGATGGAAGTGAATACATTTGGTCGGAGCATAATATCGTAGCGCTCGCATTCGGCAAAAACGTTTAAAGCAAAACCCAAAAGCAAAGCCAAGCATAAAACTGATCAGTGATGTTCTTCTCGTCATTATTTACGACTTTGGTTCCATTTCGCAAGAAATTACCGGGTTTAGAAATCAAAAAAGGGTACTGAGCCCGTTTTCAGAATCCTCATTATTCTCAATTTGTACGACGTGAATATGATTTGAAATTAAGGGTCGACTGGAGTAAGGTTCGATGATGACGATGGATTCCGAAAAACTCCTATTTTGGCAGCTTTTTTCTCTATATAGATTTTCGCCCACCTTGATTCTCCAACTTCTAAGCGCCATATCTGAGTACACTTACAGTATAGAAGAAAATGCCAAACATGGTATTGTAGAGCAGAAGAAGTACTTTCAAATGATATATGTGATTTCCTGGGTAATACTTGTATTCACTGAATTCGTAGCTCGAAAAGAAAAACGCTACGATATTATGCTCCAACCAGGGTCGACCGACAGTGAAGAAAAACGCAAAAAACAAGGGAAACGCCGAAATTAAGACCCTCCCGTTTTTTGCTCGGCAATATATGCTGAGACGGCGATAAACTACTCATTGGAGAGAGAGCGCAGGCGAGGTAGCATACCGGACAAGAAGGAGCAGACATCCCGCGCGCTGGGTGGGGTCTTAACCGCTCGCAACCAGGTGAACGAGGCACTAGCATCCTCGTTGCTCGCCTTCGAATCCTAAGAGTGGCGCTACCTCTACGAATCCTTAGCCAGCTACACCAGCCACTAAAGGGTGTTCAGACAACGTAGCCATGGAGTGTGCTTCTAAAAACTCTGTCCGATTTGCCATTTTTACTGTTACCACACTAATTAGGCGGTTTAAAGTATAAAGTCAGATATAAAACTAACACATCAACGAGCATGGGATACTTCAGTGACGGGTCGAATTTCGGCGGCTTCATCAGACCAATGTGCACTTCTGAAAGCAATGAAAAAGTAAAAAAAGAAAATACTATCCTGATTGCGTAGGTGTCCTAGAAGCGCCGCTAGCATCGGGACGCGATACTACGAACATTACTATATGTATGTGATAGTATTAAATTACTAAGCATTCGCCAGTAGGGTAAAATGGCAGTTAATCAGAAGGCAATTTGATCATCGGTGACGTAAAGAATAGCGAAGACATAAGCTAAACCTACCGTAACCTGATGGTAACTTCACTGTTTCATAGGAGAGCTCAGGAAGATCGAATGGAATGTGAGGTTCGTCAGCACCGTCTAGTAGTCTATCTGAACGAAGCTGGTCTCACATAAGGTCAACGAACATAACAGTTATGGCTGACTTACTATTACTAGGAATATCTACGTTCATGAGGTACAACTTCGTATTTTTAAATGCTTGTAGGCAAGCAAGAACAGCTCGCTTGCCATCCGGTGACACATCGTACGAGCCGTAATCGCAATCGGAGACAAGAGACGACAGAACTATTATCGATGACTGTAAAAGTTGCACTTTCACTCTACCGTACCTCCTTAATCTTTACTCCATCAAGATTTTCTACTCATTTTTGCAGCCTCCGAACATAAACAGTTTGCTGTTGCTACTGCTCAGCTGTTGTCTTCCTCTGCCTGCGCGATGAAAAAGTTTATTAGATAGTTTGAAGGGACCAACTTCTGATTGGCCTCCCCCTGAATTCCAAAAAGTACGTCAAGCGCGGGCTATGTAACAGTTTAAACGCAGGGTGAATAACGGTCGAGGAATTCCTCGACCATGGCTCTCTACTGTGCGAGAGTAGTGCCGAGAGTGAATGTACGCGCGGAGAGCACAGACGGCTCGCGGGTGGCGAGAGTGAATATCCGCGCGGGAGAGCGTGACTGAACAGGCGAAAATCCTCGACGAGCCGTTGCACTTCCTTCGATCGATTTTCACCCTGTTGAAACAGCAAAATTAGGCCCAATTCGCGAGAATCTGATTATTTCTCAAGATTCCACCGAATTTTCCCCGGGCTTCGGAATATTCTGCTCCTAGTTCTCCCAGGTTGGACCTCGTTCTGCTAAATACGACGTTCGTCGTCTATTCGACCCCGAGGGACGGGCTCTGCTTGTACCCCACCCTCTTCATAATTTCATTGACTGCGTTGGACGATGAAGAGCATGAATAGATGTGAAAGGTACAATCTTTCAGTCTCTTACCTGATTTGTTGAGGTACCTCGTGCTAATCTGTACAACCTCATGGTGCCAACACCTTGACCAGATGAGGTGAAGGTGAGGGTGTCTTTCTTAATGTCGTAACCTTTCATCTCCTTGATATCATAGGCACCACCGTGCCATGCCGTAACTCGTCCACTGCCGTTGTTCTTCAAATGAACGACTTTAAGAAGACCGGAAAATACTGCTGATAGTAACGTACAGCACATGAATTTAATAGCTGACCATAATTTTGATATGAGCGATATGATTATAGATGTTTCCATCGTAGTAGGCGTGAGGCAAAATGACAAAGAAACCGAGCTCTGATGCCAATATCGTCTTGAAGTCGGTCGGCTCAGCAGACAAACTTCGGCCATTGATCGTGAACGATTGCGTGTGCGTCTGCAAAGGGGTTTCACCAAAAGCTGTTCCTCAGGAAACTTCCACGAAACTCACCAACACGCAGTCCACCTCATTGCATAGCGTTATGTAGACGAGATTCTGCTCACGGTTTGCCCATACCGTTACCAGCCGCTCATCACCGAGTTCGCTTCGTATTTCCTTCGGCATCTTGATCCACTGATTCGAGTAGACATAGTATGACCTGAACAGCAAACATTAAATGTCGGAGTTGCACGGAGTGTGGGCAGAATGTTCCGGATGGTTCGAACTAACAGTCACCGATTGGCAGCTTGCAAGCGCCTCATTCGCTGGATACCCTCTATTTCAGAATACAAGAAGAGCGTCGAGTGCAGACCACACACCACAAGTGACGACGGCCAAAAAGGTGGCTTTTCCTTCTCTTTTTTTTGGCCGTCGTCACTTGAGTGTGTGCTCTGCACTCAGCGCTCTTCTGGTTTTCTAGAATAGAGGATACCTGGGGTCGTATGTAGTATCCGGTCGGGAATGAGTTCCCAAAACTTTGGTTCTCTACTCCGATGAACGACTCATCTCCATGGTCCATGGGGGATTCGGCTCCGGTCGATACTTCAGCATACGGCTGTCCAGAGATGCATCAAGGGGATCCATTTCCGGTCGGGTACTACTGCATAAGGCCCCCAATGGATTGCTCAGAATCCATCTGGCTCCGCTACCACAATGTCGGCGATTCTCACAGAACCATTTCTCATCCGGACCCTGGAAATGACCTACTGATTCATTCCAGCCAGCTGAGTTGGCGGTTCAGCGACCACAGTTTTGCCACTTTTCATTGACCATATGTACAGAGTGGCCTCCGGGTTATCCTCAACACCTGCCTTCGGGTACGGTATTTCCATATACCTCAAAGGGAAACAATTAATTAGGATGGGCTTCAAGTGAAACGCATGACTTACTGTGGATACTGAGAGTTTCTCAAGTGTTTTGGAATGTAAACTCGATTCACCGAGCGATCATCGAATCTGAAAAAGGAAGTTGAGGTGAGAAGAATGAAGGATGAGTGAAAAAAGGCCGAAATAGTAGTTATTTGCGTCACTCTTTCCGATGCAAAATTTAAAGAATTCTAAACATGAGCTTCCAAGGGCACGGGCTCGTAAGGTTTTATAAAAATGATATGATACCTCAGGTATGAAAGGTAGTCCCCTGAATCGGACCACCAGATTGCATCTGCTGACGACAGGATCTCTTCTGAAATATTAAATGCTACGCTAGAATTATATTTAGCAAAAACAAACATTTTTCTCATTGGTTAGATTAAATTACAGTTACTATATCAGATTCAATTCATTAAAAATCAAAATTCAATAAAATAAGATAAGATGCTCGCTAAAGGCCAAAGAAGTACTAAGTGGCCAAACTTTATCATAGTACAGTTTCTCACTTAAAATATCTCTCCACTGTGATTGGTCAACGAGAGTATCCAATCAGATTCGAGTGAATGGTTCCATAAGAACCAGAGCTTTGGTTCAGTATGGGGGATTAAGATGACTTTCTTATTACCACTCTCGACTGTGTACATGAATTTCTGCTTAATTCTGTTCTATTTTAAGGCTTATTCAGCGCAAAGTTGAGGGCAGGGCACCGATATGATGCAGTACTCACGTCTATGGAAAAGGTAGATTAGGTTCCGAGATAACGTTGTCTTAGTGCCTCCTTTTGCGGAGATGGTGAGACAGCGTTGGACCGAGATAATTGGCACCGAAGAGAGAGTACACGGCGAGACGATAGACTACTCAAGAGAAGTGAGACGGCAGACTCCACAACGATGGGCGTGGATGGATCCACATCGCGTGCACTGGGACAAGCGCCAAGCCCTTAGCACCTTTACCACATGTTTTAGTCGCGACAGTGGCACTGCTTCCGCGCTTGTGGGCCTAGCAAACTCATTCGCGAAGGATTAGTGCAGTAAGCAAATCGCTATGCGTTTCTGATGGCCACTTTCAATTTTGTAATTAATTGTAATGGATGATTTTATTGGTTTATTTTTATTTTTGTAACCTTAAGCATGTACCTTCGTATAACCAATCCGCCACACCATAGCGAAATAGATAATGGCCATCCTTCGTCAGCTGTCGAGCACTTCCTGGTTTCTCTGGATCGGCTTGGTAGTAAATGTTGTAGTCATGAACAAATACCTTAAGGAAATCAATTATTGATTTTAACTATGAGTCGCTCATTTGCGTCGCTACTGACAAAGTCGCTCTTGTTCCGATTGGGATTCCACTTGAAAATGAGAATAGTTTCGGTACCATCTCCAGTCGGACCGACAGGGAAAGGTTCTCTGAAATGAATATTTACAAAAATGGAAAAATTGGGGGATGATTTGAGGGAATGGAGGACGCAAAGTAATGAAAGGGTATAGCACTGACACTCATAGTCTACTGATCAGTCTCCATTGGGGTACGCAACTCAATTCTGTACATGAAATGTGAGGGTTGGCGGATTGCAGGTCGGTAATTTTATTTCCCCCTTCAAATTAGGTACCAATTGAGCTGCTTCGAGGGATAAGGCCCGGAAGGGCTTGGACGGGGCAGAAATGGGACTCGATCTCTGGATTACCAACCATCCCAGCGTGGAAGCTTTACGTGAAGTTTCCAAAAAAGGGAGGGCGGGGGGAGTCAATGGTTCCGTTCTCGGATTGTGGATGTGGTTGCAATTAGAGCCCATTATCAGTTCGGTAGACAAATACTGTATAAAAATTTAATTATGTGCAATTGCACACGTAAAAGGAACTTCACCGTTGCAAATAAACGTACCCCATTCGTGTGCCGTTTACTATCCGAAAGATTTGATACAGAGCCTCGTTGGAGTAACGGAATATCTGAAAAGCTATGTAATTAATGTAAAGCCACCACTCATCAAATTTGGTCCTTCGCTTCACCTTCACAAAATTCACCTATTTTAGGATTTCGAAAACACGCTTGAAAAAATTGATGGATTTTTGAGACTAGCCTAGTCGGGTTTTATAATCAGGAGTTTTTTTTTTGCAGTAAAGGTGAGCGATATCAAAAAGCTGTAGATCAGGGAAACTGGAAGGTTATATTATGGTATTTCGCCTATATGTGAGATGGGAGAAGCCCTGTAAGCGATCCTTGCTAATTCCACACCTGCGGAAATTTTTCTAGCGGTTCCAATTGATTTCCGATTTCCGATCCATAACGTATCAGCTCCTATTGGAGAATGACTTGGTTTAAACAAAAATGTAGTAGATACCATACAGGTTTGAGTGTTTCTGACGTATAGGCGTATTTATTGTTGGAGGACATCGTGTTCATAATAGAAGAATCCGATAAATATGGTGTGGCTTCGAAAGATCCTGGCTTGATGATGGTTGCTACCGAAGGAGTCTGAAAAAGAGCTTCATTGGCACCTGCGAGTTCAACATCAATAACTATTCCAATCAAATAATATGTCAGAAAATTGAAGTGTAGGCATCATTTTAAGCAACTAAAGTTCTAGATTAAGCTTGTTTTTTTTCCAAGAAGAAAATTTTCACCTCGGAGTACTCGTCCTTCGTCCGAATGAGGCCACCGTCGCGCGTCCATGCGGTCGTGTAGGTGTCCTTGAGGAACACTTTTCCAGAGAAAAGATCATCAAAGGTGAATTTACGGTATTCAGGACGGCGACGTCGAAATGATAACCGAGACGAGGATCGGTTCCCGTTCTCGTCTGAAGACAACGGCGTGGATGATTCATCTTCACTGAGATGCACTGCTGAAATGATCTGTTCTAATCCTTGCGAAAACTATTTTTTTGCGAAAAGCAAATTTAAAGGCAAGGTCCGGGATTTTTGGTCTAAATTAGGGGAGACGGTCAATTCAATCGTCGGCTAATGAGGTCACGCCGCTCACGCGGCGAGAATCGTCGCGCGCGGCAGTTGGTGCGGCGATTTCTGTGTGGACCTTTTCTTAACCATCCATGTCCATAAGTTGGCTGGGGTGACTGATAAGACCAGAGTGCTGGACATCAGTAAGCCAACAAGCGTCACCTTAAGATCTCCGCAGTTATTTAAGCCTCACTGTACAGAGCTTGTGCCATGTAAAGGTTGTCCTTTTGAACATAATTTGACTTCTTTATTAATCAACTGCCTGAATTGTTATCAGAGAGCGATAATCTGGCTCAATCGGAAAAATATTACGTTCCAAGACGCAGTGGAACGGTGAGGAAGGCACTAACATTAGTATGACAGAATAAGTTTGTAAATAATGGCAAGGGACAAGGAACCTGTATTTTAAGGGGGCAGGTGATCATATACCGTGTTTCACGACTGGAAACTTCATCTAATCCTACATTCCCCAATGCTAGAACCCTGAATTCTAGCCACGGCCGACGTCGCATCGCGGGCTGCGGCGGCTGGCGCGGCGACCTAGCCACCGCCACGATTGAATCGTCACGCACCCCTAAATTAGGCTTTCCCCGAGAAAAATGCAGTGGTCCGCAAATTGGGGGGGGGCACGTATACAAATGTCAGCATGATTTGACAAGGCTGAAGCGCTATGGTCCTAGGATGCAGCATTGGCCCCGCCTACACCATTGACCCCACACTAGTCAATGCTATTTTGCTTCGCCACTAGTGGAGAGGAGGACCTTATTTCGATTATTCCCCTTTTTTCATTACTGACATTGCACTTCACATCTCTACTGTCCAGCAGGGTGAATATCGCTTGAGGATTCCTCAACGGCACGTCGAGGATTCTCTGCCCGATCAGAGACGATCTCTCGCGCGGACATTCACACTCGCCATGCCGTGCCGTCTGTGCTCTCCGCGCGGATGTTCACTCTCGGCACTACTCTCGCATGGTAGAGAGCTATGGTCGAGGATTTCCTCGACCGTTATTCACCCTGCTGTCCAGTTACAAGCGTGATAACGCGTCAGTTTTGTCCCAGACTTTGCCTTTAAATCACATGTGGTTGATAAAGGGGAACACCAACGTTCTTGTGTTAGAAGCAAAGCAATGGAAACAACGACGAGAATAATCGTAACCAAGAAGAACGCTGCAATCAGAAGTCGGACGAATGTGCGCGAATGGCGAGTTTCGTCAGAGGTGTTCTGCAAAAACAAATTCTACGGAAAAAAATTCAACTACACGAGGTTGCACTAGAATGTATCGCGACACTGAAATCAAATAATTCATTAAGTTCGTTTTATTCTTTTTCGATCTGATTAATTTTCCATATAAATATTCCATTTTTTTGGCTCAGACCACAATGAGGCTCCAGTACAGTGCAACATTAATGTGCCTCATTTTGTTAAACATTTTCCAAAGCCAGAGACAACTAGGGTCCAACCACACTCTCAGAAAACAATTAGGTTCAGCTTTCCGCCATCCTGTTCAATGCTTACATGGTTGAGATAAACGTCTGTTGCATACGGGTACCCGACCAGGGGACTCATCGCGTTGCGAAGGCAGAGCCGGGCCTACGGACGAGTGGCAGCGCGTGCTGCAACGATTTGGTTTCATCGGATAGGATGTAGTATAGTACATCCCACATCGCACAATACGCGCTGCGACTCGTCCGCTGACCCATCTGCGTCTCTGTCTTCTCGCCGCGCGAGGAGCCTCCTGTCGGGTACCCCGCATCATACAGTCGCTGAAGGCAGAGTCAACCCTGCGTTGCGCAGTTCTCAACGGCCACGTTGCGCAGTTTCGCCCGATTAGACACGTTCTCTCGCGCGAACATTCACACTCGCATGCTCGAGCCGTCTGTGTCTCCGCCCATACAGCGTGCGTTGAGGATCTCTCAACGTGCCGTTGCGAACTGCGCAACGCAGGGTTGACTCTGGCTGAAGGCCAACCTGCGTCTGCGCGTGTAAGGGTACATTTACAAGCCATCAGAGGTTATTGAAGCAAGAGTAAGACTTTCTAGAGCAGGTCATTTCATACAGAATCTTAAGTGATTCAGTGAAAACAATTCTTTGGGTCTAAGAGGAACAGTAGTCATTTTTTCACCCTTTCAGCATTTTTTAAGGAGTTTCTAAAAGGAGATTAATATTTACTGATAGATCTTCTATCTTGATTTTGAGGAAGCATCTTTCATAGTTGTCACTATACAGTCGACTTAATCACAACTTTCATAATGAAACAAATTATTATTAACGCCTCACAACAGTTTTCTTTCGTGATAACTTACTACGGACTGAAATGTTGAAAAATAAAAAAAATTGATGTCAAACTAGCTCACGGATTTATCCATATCGTTGACTTCGGACACACATTTCTATGAAACGTCACTGTTCCAGCACACGTCCCTGCCTGGCAAGGATTCCCTGACGAGGTGTAAGGCTAACGGTGACTGGCTATGAGACTGAAATAACGACTCTTCGAATTGCATAAAGTGAAGCTTGACGGAAGCACATATCTCGGTGGTCAATCACAATAGAACAAACTGTGAAATAACAGTTCAACAGTTCAAAGCTCTCAGATCTTGGCCTATTACTCCTTTTCAGTACTGCTCAAGTAGAATCGATCGATAAAGATCCAGCAGTCAGTTGACAGCGAGAAAATCATGCATGAAGTCATAAGAAGCGCTGTAAAACTGACAGCGCTGCCTCTAAGCAAACTGTATGTGTTTGGGACGTTCAAGGAAAGGCGGAATTGCTTTTTTCATTAGAGATCGCTGCTATAAGCAATGCCTCCGGATCTCATACAGGAAGAGAGGGTATTACGGTGCACAGCCTGATCTGATGCCAATTTGGCCCTTCAAAATCCTTCAAAATTACGAATACTAACAGCTTTACTCCTGCGTTATTTCTTACGCTTTTTTTGTATATCGAATGTGTTCTGGTGCTGGATGACATAAACATCAACAGTAATATTCTCTAGGGTGAGCAGTCAGGACTATGCAAAGGAATGGGAAAGTTCCCGGGGAAAACAAGACTGCTCACGGACTTTGAAGCCTATCTCCATTCTAAGGTTTAGTCTTGAACACTCACGGTGGTAGAATATCATTTCGTGATTTGAACGCGTCGAGCGCTCAACCGCAATGCCCCGCTCAGTGGCTTAGATTCTGTTCTCCGTTTGGCTGGTATCAGAATCTGCGATCCGTTGCGCGAATCACGTGCTACGAGCAGGGTCAACCGTCCGTTCGAACTGTTCGAACGGGGGGGTCGCATTTGTGTTCTGGGAGGGGAGAGGGGTCGCATTGCGCAGTTCTGCTGGTTTTGGTCATCAGGGGCGCAGGGCATAGGTGCGTGCGAAAAAAGTTGCCGTTTCACTGGTTGTATATACCCCCCCCCCGCTCGACGGCTATTTTTGGGGAAAAAGTGGGTGGAGTTTCGGAGTTTTAGGTAGGTTTTGGGCTGTGTCAACTGGTCTCAGAATCAAATACTATAGAAGAGGGAGAGGTCGCGGTGGGGGAAGGCTGGTTGTATTGGGGGGTCGCAACTGGACCCCCTCGAGAGGGGGGGGGTCGCAAAAATCCCGAAAATGTTCGAACGTGACGGTTGACCCTGGCTACGAGTCCAAGCAATTCCAAGTGCCTTGATCAATACTGCGAGGTACTCTTCCAATCCCGCCGCCATTTCTGCTTGATGGTGATGGTTGAATGACGACTGTTCATGATTCTACTTGTTTCATATTCAGTGTTTCAAATGTTCAAATGAAGGCACTTGCGATTAACGCGATTTACGCGAGTCGCGCGATGGATCGCGGACTCTAGCACCGGCCTTAGAGAGTACGGCAAGACATTGAAGTTATGCTAAAGCGACTGAGTGAATACAAAAAGAGTTGACAGATTGCCAAGAGCTCCAGCAAAATTCTCAAGGCACCAAATGAATATGTCAACACACAGAAATAAAGAGACGATTCGCAAGAGCTGCGGTTATGGCAACTATTCGTGACAAAAATATGACTGTAAAGAAAGGGGATGAAGAAGGAACTGGTCGATACTGGATCTAGCCCCCTAAGTCATGAACATGTTGAGTATCAAGGTTCAAAATTTTTATAGAATTATTGAAGCGAAGGTGGTGTTGAGGCACCCACGCGACTCTGAACCGCTTATGGTTTGTTTTGGGGGGAGGGGGGGTCAGATCCAGTGATAAATTCAGCCGTGGCCATCCAAGTCTTGCAGCTTTGAATTTCGCCTGTTAGCCGAAACCTTCCTGGGGAGTTGGGGGGGGGGGGCTGGAAAGGTGGGGAAGGAGGTGGGGTGTTAAACACACTGAGCTGTGTCTTGGCCTCCTGTCTTGAATGTTATTGATAAAGCCACTCATAGTTAATTGCCACTACTATTATGAAAAACAGTTAGGCGAGTGGAGCATTTCAAAAGGTAAGCATCGAGGTGAGTTTATTTCAAAGTGAATATTGCAGTTGATTATTTGTCCTGTATATTTAATTATATATTAAAAGCAAAGAAGTTTCAGAGGGTACTCGTACATCATAGCACCGGAAAAGTTCCTCCAAAGAAGGAAAACAATATTCAGCACATGAAAAGATCCACCCTTAAACGGGCGGAAACGTATTTTACGAAAAACAGAGATGGCATCCCTGCTAATGAGCCTTCTAGGAGAAGTGAGAAAAAAGTTCGAAGGGTTGCTGCAGGTGTGATTGTAGGAGCAGATAAGGAGAGAGGAGAAAAATAGCGCCGGAAATCTAGTTCGCGATATTCACATCGCTACCCTTGAAACCCATTTTTGATACTCCAAAAAAATAGGCGGCAGATTCGACTAATGGTAGCTTCCGGTGGGAAATTGAGAAAAGGGACTAACGCTCAGATATATCCTGAAAGTTGGGTTGAGTTGAAGGGCTACCACAAGGCACTGGTATAATTGGTAGCCTAAGTGCGCTGAAAGCAAGAAAAGCAAAGTAAAGCAAAAGCTGCTGGTTCGATGCCGAGGGCGAAGAGTACTGGAGCCAAAACAGCAGTTGACAATCAAAAAATGGACATAATATTTGGAGGCAATATTGTAAACATAGTGAACTAGAAATGACTGCAGAAGTATTTGGTTATGTGATTTTCATAAGAAGACCCTTTGTTTTGGGGCTAACTGGTTGATAGATCCTGGTACTGCAGTGATAATCCGCTGCTAATGGTGAATCACACTTATCTGACAGGTTATTCAAGTAATAAAATCCAAAAGAAAACCTCCAATTCGTTATCCCTTACCGTCCAGAATTCATGAGGAAGTGGACGAATGGCCTCATGGCGAAGGGCCAACATGAGCCAAGATTCCTATAACAAGTGGTAAACAGCAGAAGGCTGAAAGCTAGGGACAAGTTTACCAGTGCGTGCAGGGTCTCGTAAAACTACTAATAGGGATAGCGGCGTTAATCAATTCCGTTTTGGGACGCGCCATGCATTCTAGTTCCATTCAGAATCGTAGCGGCAACTTGAATGTGATAGGGGCTGGGCTATACAATGAGTTGCGGGGCCAGCCGAAATACAAGTCAACTTGGACATGTTTTTTTGTCCTCCCAGACAAGTCTGGTACCAAAAGCGAAGGGAAGGCTTGGTTGGCCCGGGCGACTCACGACCCAGGATTTGATCCCCGGACCGTGCGCGTGGTAAGCAGCGCCACTTGCCACCGCACCACTTCCGCGCGGAACTAATGACCATAAGAAATAAATGAGATTCAAATACGACTCGGTAGTACTATTCAGCTGATGTAAGCCCGACGAGAGATCCCAAAAGCTTCCCCGGTAGAGGGCATGAGAGCCGAACGGCATGTTCCACAATAAAATGGAAAAAAGGACCATACTCAATTGACTATATGTAGAACAAAGGTCTCACTTCAGGGCTGTGGTCGCCTCTAAGAGATGGAGAGTTCAAGATAAACTAGCGATAGCCCCAAGGCGGCGAATGAATCGGAGGCCCAGAGAGCATAAGGAATCAGCGAAACGCAGATGCTCGCATTCGCCATGGTGAGCCTGCGTACATGGTGAGGGCTGTGGTGTAGGTAACTGTGTTCAATGTAGTATTCAGTGAAGCGCAGAATACTCTAACATTTTGTTCTTTTTGCCAATTGTCCCTGAAGTATTTACCAAAATATCAAAAAAAGGCCAAAGACACTGCCCCTTCCCCAGGTTCACTCCAAATCGTCATTACCAACATCCAAAACTAGAATAGAGTACGATTACCGCAGCCCCTCCGAAACCAAACGCGGTCCCTCACTTGTAGGTAAATTACCAAAGGACGCCTAACCCTAGCATCCAGTGTATTTCCAAAGCCTGGAAGCAGTTTGCAAAAATGAACGAATCTGTGTAATAAGGTTGAGAGGGAGAAGTAAGAAAGTAAGTCACTCAATGCAATTCGTAGAACGCTCTATTGTTTGAGTTCTCAGCTGACAGCTGCTCTTTGAAAAAACCAAATCAAAGAGAAGCTGTTCAGATAATGTAAATAATTGGGGTAAATCAAACAGTGGGAACAAAACCTCCGAAATTTTCCAATATTCACTCATAATTTTCAAGAACGAGGTCACCTGAAACGAAGACGATAACCCCAAAGAAGAGACAGAAGGAGAGACTTCGTGATGACCTTGCCCACTAGATTATATAAAGAGCATAGAAGATCAGAATTAAAGATTCAATCTTGAGATAGGAGTTCACTCAGGCTAACCTACGCAAGGCGCAATTCTTTTCTGAGTGAGCCACGCACTTTATTCACAAATTTAAAGGCGATTGAATGGGCACCTGACCAGCATGAGGGTCAGAGAGGCCGGGGGGGGGGAAGGAGGGAGGAGTAGAAAGCTATTACAGCCTTCCAGAAAAATCGGGTAGCACGCTATTGAAAGGAGGCGGTATGATGGGCCATGATGCGAATCCATGCAACCGTGAGCCCTCAGTAGTGGCGCGTCCTGCCATCGCGCTATCTTATCTTGAAATGCTCGTTTAGAATTGAAGAGTAGAAGCGACACATTTTTGGTAGGAATTGAACAGGTAACAAACTTAATGGGACTTTAATCTACTTGATCTCGTTCACATCTCAGCCAATCACCTAACCCTCAGATAGCCTAGGCTTATAAAGTGATCACGAGACTGGAGTGCGGTTCTATTTTGACGGCGCCATTGATGAACTAGAGCCCTCAAAGCGCTAAAGAGTGTGGCTGGGACCGTCTCTCAACGCCCTTCACCCATGAAGTTCAACAACATCAAAACCGCAACGCCCATCTGCCATTGCGATAACTGCTTTGGATATCCAATTTCATTAAAACTACA